TGGGGAGGCGTGTGAGAGGCGGGGAGACTATTAAAAGATTAGGCGGTTTTTCTTTCAGGTACGTCTGCCATATTTAGTCCCAGGATTTGTAAAGCCTGGCTTAACTCGTTGTGAATGCGATCTAAGGCTGAGGCTTGAATCGCATGATCCAATTTCCACACTGTAGAGAGCATCTATCTGGTCAGCCACTTTGGCCATTAATTCATTGACATAAGAAGCATCGAGAAAGAATGATAATTTTAACTCAAGATGACATAGTTACAATACCACTCAAGCTGCACACTACACATCATTTCACTTCCAATGGTCAATTGAATAAAATTCAAATTATTCATTGGCGACATAGACCGTGACAAATTTGGAAACAAATGGTTGTCCATTGGAATGAGGCAATCTGATATAATGAACTGACCAAAGTAGCTGGACAGTCCGTTATAGTGACTGACCAACAGCTGTCCCTACTTACTGTAATTTTGTCTGGACAAAGAGATGGGCACACAAATGCCAACCATCAACTGTCATCTTAAATCAAAGAAAGTGGATTCAGTGTACCTTTCTAAGAAGTTAATTACATTAATGTTTGCAATACCATGTCTTGATAGTTTTGCACGTATCTCTAATAATAATAAAGCTGTATGACAGGTGCAGGAAAGAGGGGAGAAGAGGACTATGCCATTCCTCTCAGAAAAGTCAGATGAAAAATTCAAAAGATCAATGAAACAATTAAATCTCACAAAATTTCAGACGAGGCATGCGCTACCTCAATCCACTTATGTTTATGATAAATTATTGTAGAAGTACATGGTACCAGTATCATATAGAGGAAGGTAAAAAATGAAACTGACTTACAAAACAGTTTTTCTATTCTGATTATGGCATTCATTTACTCTGCTCAGCTTGCACTATTCTGATAAAAGTACATATGACCTCCTTTTCAGCCATCTCTTAAAAGGGCAAACTGAAAGATGAGAAATAATAATAATAATAATAATAATAATAATAATAATATTAATAATAATTTAAAAAGTAAGTTTTGGAACATGACAGCTAATATCAGTGTCATTTTTAATATTTGTTATTCTATATTTTAAACTTTAAGAATACATATATCTTAAAATTATTCAGAAACAGTACAATATAAAGGTATATATGCATGGCTAATATTACCAATATGATATTTTGTTGCTAATCTGTTTATATCATTTAATTTATCAAAACAATAAAACAAAAGTTTCATTCATGCTTAAGCTGTTAAACAATTATTTAGATTTTTAAATAATGAAATAGTAAACGATCATGAACATGAACATGTTGTTCAGTGCTTCATCAAGACCATTTATACAAGGACAGGAGTTCTCATCATTTAGCAATCAGTTTCCTAACCTATGTAGAAGCTCAGCAGCGGGGATGCCTTGATTATGATGTGCAATTGTTTATTATTGACATCCCTGATTTATCTACCGTCCTGATCTGCCTTACTGCCCATTTTGACCATCTACTGGCTTTATTTATCAAACGCTGACCGCTATTTGACCAGGCGGGCAAAATAATATTACCACATTTACCATGATGTGACGAATTGTTCACGTGTGAGAGCATGTAGGAGTACATGTACATCCATGTGGGTGGCAGAGAGAGAGAGAGAGAGAGAGAGAGAGAGAGAGAGAGAGAGAGAGAGAGAGCGAGAGCAGATGCATATTTTCTTCAATTATGGTTAAATGAACAGATTTCATAAGATTTCTACAAAGAAAACAAAATGTAATACCCTTGCTAATTTTGCCAGTTTTCTATCATAATATGGAATATTTCTTTATCTTATTTTATTATGTACATATAGAGGCTATAAGCTTTAATATATGAAGTATACTGTTAAAAGGTAAAAGGTTAAATGAAGCAAAGATATGCAGTACATTGAAGTGATATCAGTCTTCCTAGAGATGTACTTTACTTTAGACAACACTACTCCACCCTCACCAAATGCACTAAATGACCTCAAAAAGACAATACTTCATTCTGGCAAATTGTTCAAAATGATAACAAAGGAGTCCAAATGTCTTCGTACATCAAATTTCCATAAATGTTTTATTTACTGAGACAATATGTAGATATGAATCCACAGCTTGAACTCTTTTTAAAAACTTCCCGACTAAAACACTGAGCATCTTAAATGTTTCATAAAGAAAGTTACATCTTCAGCACATTATTAATGAAGCAGGTATTCCAGTGGAGATGGCCAAATGCCAGCTGGCTCTATAAATGGACATCTGACCAGACAGTGAGCCAGCCCTAACAGTATATGATTACAATCATGATGAGGGGTACACATGCGTAGGTGGATTATCCAGCAGGCACCTGTAGCTAAGCCACCCTGTCAGGTATGACCAAATTCAAAGTAAACACAAGCTAAGATCACTTACGATATATCCAAATGTAGTGTTTACCTGGATGACTGCGTGCAGTGCCCCAGGTTCAAAAACAATTAACCTATCAGTAAGAATAATCATTTATGCTTAATTGGTGCAAAGCCATTGAACACAAACATACATGCATGCACATTCATTCATTCACTCACTGATATAGCCACCTATCCATCCATGTAAGAGATGGAATATTTACAAAAAGATAACTTAAGTCCACCTTAATGATCAGACAATTATCTTAAAATAAACACCCCAGTTTGTAAAAAACTGACCAAAGCTGACAGGCTAGCTCTGGCAGTGCACGGCAAGAAGAATCATCATTTCAATGTTCAATATCAATTTAGCCATTCATAACAGTTCATCAGCAGAATATTTCCATATGTCAAACTTGCCCCTTCAAAGAAAGCCCAGGGAAATATAGGTGAATGGCTCCCAGCAATGAAATAATACATAATTACGATAACAACCCCCTCTTACAGATGGTACACGCATTGGACCTTAATCAGCTTTAAATATTCAATGGGATCATTTTGTCACGTCATAGGTGACAAGTGAAAGGTGGCACGTGCCAGCTTCTCTTGCAGCTCACTCCAGCCTGAGCCAGCAGAGTCCATTTAACAATATTGTTATAACTGTCAGGCACTTAGCGCTGAACAAAAGCCACTTGAACTATCAACACCTGACTGCTGAAGGCCAGTTCACAGAGTTTGATTCTAAACCGGTACAACACTCCATGCAGGAATAGATCCAGAGATATTTTCTGACAGTCTTCCAAATTTTCTTTGTTGATCCATCTTTCATTTTCGACTGTCTTGGGGCAGAAAAAATAGATACCTGCCAATGTAAACTTGAAAATCTGATTGTTTTCAGGAAGACCCAAAAGACAGCCTCATTCCGCCCTGCCATGGTCCAGAGTTTCTACTGCATTCTCTTGGGGTCTGGTGGTTTTGGGATTTGACATTTAGGGTAAATGAATTGTGGTACACTAAAAATAGAGTAAAATTTCTGCCTAAAACTTAAGCTGTTTCTTACATTTTGGGAGACTAGGTCTAATACCCTTACTTGAACAACCTACAATGTGCTGGACATTTTTCAAAAATCAGAGTCAACTGAAAATTTTGGCCTGTGCCTTTGCACCAAATGGACCCTCTGAATGCGACGTCCATCAGCTCTGAACCAAGTAAAGTTGATTCAAATGTGAACAGGACCACAATCAGCGCCAGCAGTCATAATAACAGAAGCCACTTGACCAGACTGCTCCTGGCTATTATATAATCATAACTACCATCTGGTAGTCTATTATCAATAAGTATATTTGCACAGAATTCAGGAAAAGGAACATTTTATCCCAATCATATATCTGATGAGGAATCTGTTTCATCTCTTAATTATGCTCCCTTTCTTAAACCATCTGCTCAATCAGAGAGCTGGCTCTTCTTCAGGTTAATAATAATAATAATAATAATAATAATAATAATAATAATATTATTATTATTATTATCATTATCATTATTATTATTAATACTTCGAGTACTAAATGTTCCCAACAGGTTTAGGTAGGTGTTGAACACAATTGTTTCAGGACATTCTGAAGATTGTATTTTCTTGGAGAAATTGACAAAATTCCAGCCATGCTGCACCTGTTTCATACCCACATTAGATCGCGTCCAGATTATCCGTCACTAATCATGCACAGAGAGATCATGATGTTGTTATAATTACCCACTTCAATGCCCACATCATCACACGCCCCCTTTCCTGACACTTTTTTTTTGGTACCTAGAGGCTACCACCAATACCGCTTTAACAGAAATTTTTCTGACTTAATCCTTAAAGGAAGTAGAGTGGAGACAGGTGTAGTGCCCACACTTGCTATGAATTAAGCTACCAAGTTTTAACCGGTCGTATCAGCTGAAGCAAGTGGGTGTGTTAACATATGTATAACATGCTCCCACCCCTACCACAGGATGCCAACATAACTGTTCTCAAAATGTGCAGATATTAATATAATTCATATGCAATTTATTTATATTTCCTATTACTGGATTTACATATTGTAGTTGTGTAAATAAATTTCCAAATTCATAGATGTGAAAAATACCAAATTACCAGTATGTTAGCCATGAAGAACCTCGGCTACCATAAAACAAGACTTTAAAATTCTGAATTGATACTGAAAATGTGTAGACTATGGGTAAAGTACATAGACACAGCAATAGGTGTACTTCAAACAAGTGTGCTTCTAAAAGTTCTTCTCTTAATAAGACCTAAGACCCCATTCAGAATGGAAGATCCAAGTATCAACTGGTCCAAGAATCTAATATGGCAGATCCTCCATGAGAGGAAGACCGCTTAATCCTGTTATGGTCTCTCCGCCTCTCACAGGTCTCCCTACATGTCATCTCTGCAGGGGCACAGTAATTAAATCTCTGTTCCATTCCACTTGATGCGTGGGGAGGCGTGTGAGAGATGGAGAGACCATTACAGGATTAAACTGTATTCTTCTCATGGAGGATCTGCCATATTTGATCCTTGGTCAGTTGATACTTGTACCCCATTTCCATAGATTTTTAGATCGATCTATCCCTGTGGGGAGTCTCACTAGATTACTGACAGCTTGGCCAGCTTAAGCGTCTGTCCCACCTACTAAAAGCTGTAAAGGGGTAATTAACTATGGTGCCCGCTCGGCTGACTGCAATTAGCGTGAACCCCCAGGGAGTTAGGTCGATCTAAATCTTAATCTTTAGATCGATCTAAATCTCTGGGAAAGCACCCTTGGATCTTCCATTCAGAATGGCCCCCCTAAAGCCGCATTCAGAACAGCGGACTACTCCAAGGGTCAAATATGGCCTACAGTGTATATTAGCAGATTAGACGGCAAGTCTTTTAGTCAGTCACCATATCTGGCCCTCAGACTAGTAAGTCTGCTATCCTGAATGCAGCCAAAGTCTAAGGGTGCTTTCCCAGAGATTTAGATCGACCTAACTCCCTGGGGGTTCACGCTAAATTGCAGGCAGCTGAGCGGGCACCATAGTTAATTACCCCCTTACAGCTTTTACTAGGCGGGACAGACGCTTAAGCCGGCCAAGCTGACAGTAATCTAGTGAGACTCCCCACAGGGATAGATCGATCTAAAAATCTATGGAAATGGGGTGTAAGCAGGCTGGTCCAGGATATACAAAGCTTTAGCCTGTGGCTCACATGCTGACCACTGCCAGCTGCATGCCCTCCAGCTCTTCTCCCACCCTCTTTGTTATCAATCATAAACAATAGCCACAGTACCAGCACCAAAGACAGATAATCTCATTCTTATGTTGGATCATTACGTAAACACATTATGATGTGGGTAGTCAAATAGATAAGGACGGAGTTACCAGTACTTAGGGAGTAATTTTCTCACTAGAATCGTAGAGTCAAGCACGCAAATTAACAGACAGATGCTCTCTTACCATCATTATAATCTCTCTTTTAGTGAGATTACATTGTCTGCTGAATACATATGATTAATACTTGGATCTCCTTTTAAGTGAGTCTT